CCCCACTGTCAATAAGAAGCATCCAGCTTCCTTTTCCTACCTTCTGCCTGACTGCCAGCATTATTCGGATAGCGCTTATCATGGTTAAAGCGCTTCTGCTTTGGCTTAAGCATCCATACTGATTCGCTGTAATCAGATGGACCCCATGGCTCCAGCTCTGTCTTATACTTGTAGTGTTTATTGCAAGTTATCTTACCTCTTTTCTTCCCCTTCCAGGATTGCTGTGCAGATTTATACCGTGTAACCCAGTTCTGAGACTTGAGTTGCTGGCCTTCAGTGATCATCTCCCTGGTCTATATGGAGCATTCCCTCGCCTCCTTCAATCTGGAATCTTTGATGCATCACATCACACCCAAGAGGGCATCATAAATCTTGTATATTTCTATAACAAATTAAATTCTGTGTTAGCTCCATGTTCCATGATAGTTTATATTATTGAGGCCATTAAAGCTCATATCACTCAGCTTCCCTTTGTCTGTCACTTTGCTGCTCATACCAATGAATGTGACAGGACTGTTTTCTATTGTATTTTATTCCTTCATTTTTTTTTTTTTTTTTTATTCAATTAATTTTGTAGTCAAGTGTGGCAAGTGTGCAAAATTAAGGCCACTCTATTCTCAGGAAAAATGGGACTAACAGCCATGCACTGTTCTACATCATCTAATCATTAAAACATCTTTACAGAGATATGTTTCATCTGTCAATTCCAGATCAGGTCTGTCTCATGAATTTTTATCTTTATTAACAATCATTCAATCTAAGGACAAAATGTTGAGTCACAGTGTATGCTGTATGAGTCAGCGGTTTTCTGGGCTGCTCTGAATATGGGTGTGTTTTGGTCAAAGTGCAGAGTCATAGTGACCTTTTATCTACTTCCAGTGACAATGCATTTTAGGAAGACAAAACCTTCTTTTCAGGTAGCTTGCTCTTAAGCAGTTATTTGATTGTGAATGCACATTTTTTACAAAAAGTTTAAAACAATATCATTAAATTGAAGTGTCAAGAAGAGATTGCTTAAAATACAGTATTCCCTGTTGTAATCTTCTCTTGATAACCTGAAGTAAATCTGAATGAATTAGAATATTACAGGAAAATAAATGTGTTTCAGAACTAAAATTATATTATGGGGTATTTTTTTGGCTCTAATTATTTAGGTGAACAAAAAATAATGCATTATAGTTACAATTTGTTATCTTCTCTTGTAGAATGAGTTGCTGCCTTAATGTTTTTCATTGTATGGTATTTTACTGACTTTGTTTGAACCCGTAGTTAGATTTGTCAAGGACACCTGAGTGATTAATGAGCTGACAAAGAGATAAGCCTCCTGAGTGTGTGTAAGAGTGCAAAGAAAAGTGGGCTGTTCTGTTTTTTTTTTCTTTTATTATCCATAGGCTTTCTAGAAACACCCTTTAACCTAATTGGCTGACCTACCCTCCCCGGAGGGAACTTGGCAAATAAAACAGTGCGTTGTACTGTGGGTAGTAACCATTGTTAACAGGTTATATCACAATATGTCCTCAGAAAAGTGCTTCGCTAAAGGTGAGACTCTGCTTTATTATTGTTTGTTATGGCACTTTGTACATTGATATAAAGAAGATTCATATGTTTGCTTAATAGTAACAGAAAAAAAAATCAAGTTTATTAGACAGGTTACTGTTAGTAGCACATAAAGAAGGGATGTTAAATAATTGAATGAATGAATTCAATGAATGAATATATGAACTAACCTTTATTCTGTCTGCTTTATAATACAAAATAACAAATGAGCACGGACTGAGAGATTTTTTCTTCTCCATTTGGTTTAGTTAATGAAATGCAATAAAATAACTTGAGGTACTGTAAACAGAAAAACAATCAACAAATTAAAAAAGAAATCCTGGATTTGCCAAATATTTCTAATTAATTTGTAAGGTGCAAATTTTGTGTTTTCTACTATAAGAATGGTCATAGAATTGGTCGAAAGCACAATACTGCCACCACCCTACTTAACTGTGGAAAATATTTTGGGGGAGGGGAATTTTTGTAGTTTAGCGACTTGAGCAATGGAGCAAGAAGAGCAACTTCTCCATTTTTGAAAATGGAAGTGCAAATATATCCAGTGTTTAGGTTAAAACCACATTTCAGCAAGGATTATGTACTGCAATCTGAGAGCCAAGTCCTGTTTAGTTTGTATTTTATGTTTAAACCAAAAATCTAAATCAAATTTCATAAATAACCTCAACACCCCAAAGTGGCTGACACCACTGATTTTGCTTACTACAACTCACCTCACCTGCCAGTGTTCAATTTGAAAGCGAAATATGCATCGTCTTGCCATTATGTGTCCTGTCAGACAGCTCTGGGAGAGCGAACGTAAACAGGTTTCAAGCAGACTGAGTGAAAAGACCTACTGTTTAAAAAGAAGTAGAGACTGCATGCCCCTACAGGTCTTAAGCAACACATGGACAGATTTCCTAACTTTGCACCATTAATGGTGGAATGTGAGATGATACAGAGATTTTTTTTTTTTTTTTGCAACAAATATCTTTTTTTTCTACAGCATTGAATCATTTTTGAATAGATTTGTTGAATCATAACACATTTTAGTGAAGTTATTTTTATTAATCTAGCCAGGGTTGAATGTTTCTTTTTCTCTTTGCAAAAAAAGCTTCTGTCTTGGCCTCCTACCCTGTGACCCAGACATGTAAAGAATGCAATAAATGGTTTCATCATATCTTAGACAGCCATTGCAAGCCAGAAGAATAAAATAAAAACTACCGCTCCTTTAACTTTGCTACAACACCCAAATCAGTTAAGCTTTCTTTTTTTATCTTTTCCTCAGTATTTGCTCATTTTACTATTAGATAATGTTTTGCTCTTATGATGATGATGATTATGACCATGTTCTATGGTACAGTATGCAAATCAGTACACCTCATTTTCTCATTTAAAATAAAAATAATAATAATTGGATTTATTTTAATGTATTTCAGGAAGTCCTGCTCCTGGTCCAGTGCCACAGGACAGGCTGCGTCTCTACAGCATGAGATTCTGCCCTTTTGCCCAGAGAACCAGATTGGTGCTGCATGCCAAGGGGATCAAGTAAACAAAAACTCAAGAAACCTTGTATCCACACCAGAAATATGGTTAATCCTTGTGTTGATGATATTTGTAAATGTTTTAGGTTTGACACCATCAACATCAACCTGAAAGACAAACCTGACTGGTTCCTCGAGAAGAACCCATATGGTCTGGTGCCTGTTATAGAGACACCTGCTGGTGAAGTGGTGTTTGAGTCCATGATCACCTCTGAGTACCTGGATGAAGTATACCCTGAGAAGAAGCTGCTGCCAGCCACTCCTTTTGGAAAAGCCAAACAAAGAATGATGCTGGAACATTTCTCCAAGGTTTGTTATGAAAAGCCCCATCAGCTAAATCTGTGGTGTTTATTCCATATAAAGAGTTAAATCGTTGACTTTAACTATGTGATTAAAGAAAGAAATTACTGTCTTCTGTAGATTATACCGCATTTCTTCAAGATCACATCAGCAAAAAGAAAGGGTGACGATGTGTCAGGATTAGAGGCTGAGTTAAAAGAGAAGTTTACTGATCTAAACAACGTAAGTAGAAATATCTTCTGAGGGAAAAATGTGAGCTGGTGAATGGTTATTTCTTTTTATCTTGATTCAGGGCTGTTATTAAATCCTCTTTATAATTTCCTTGACACATATAACTATAATTTTCTAAAATATCTTAGCTGTGAAATTGTGGATTTATTCCAGTTAAGTCTTTTCAATATTTGAACATAATTTTCAACAACATTAATTAATTTAAATATCCAAGTACTCTTCAAAGATTCTCAATATTAATACTGTTATGTTCAAAAGCAGTCTTAATTTTGCCGTCTGTTGTATAATTGATATGAAGCCTTATATGACTTCATGCCCTTGAACTTCACGCCATATTTGTTTATATTTCAATTTTTGAGGACACAATAAAGTGTAATCTTAATATTTTTGCAGCGCTTGGTGAAAGAGAAGACGAGGTTCTTTGGTGGTGATACCATAACCTTAATCGACTATATGATGTGGCCGTTCTTTGAGAGGCTTGAGATGTTCGAGGTGCAACAGTAAGTAATACTCTCCTTGGTCATTAGGGTTAGTGTAATTAGTTTTTTTTTGTTGTTGTTGTTGTTTTTGGCATAAGCAGTTGCGAAGTGTTTGGATATTTTAATGGGAATAAGTTAAACCAGCAGGGAGCACATTTAAAGTCAGTTATAAGTCAGACAACACAAGAACTCAACATTACCACATTATTTTTAGAATATATATAAGGTAACTCAAAAGCTTATCTTTATTTCAAAATGTAAATCCATCCCAGCGAATCTTCTGTATGATGCATAGAATTAAACTTGTTGTTATTAAGTGTTTTCCTCAAAGTTACTCAACAGCCTTTTTTGATTTTGCAGCTGCTTGAACCACACCCATGAGCTGAAGAAGTGGACTGAATACATGCTGGAGGACCAAGCTGTCAAAGCCACCATGCACAGCACAGATAATCACAGAGTTTTCTTCAAGAGCTTCCAGGATGGTGAACCAGACTATGACTATGGCCTATAGAAAACAATAGCCATAGATGTATACTTGTTTTCAAATTCTGCTTTGTGGCCAGTTTATTCTTTATCTCTCTCCATTAGACTTTATATTTACAGGTCATTTATAAGTCAAATTTGTAACCTGTGGGGTTTGTTCGACATTTACATGCTTATTAGATGTATGTAACCTCTATCAATGTCAAAAATAAACCAATAAAAAACATAATGTGTTGTATAAAAAATATCTTGCTGATTTGTTTTTTTTTCCATTCACATTCACTCTCTCGATATCTACCATAGGATCCATGTTACATTTTGAACACTGTAAATCCAGACTGCCAGCACAATATTACTTAAATATGCCTAACTGAATAACATTTTATGATTGATTTTTGTGATCATAATCTTAAACTGCTGTTTAATTTGCAATAATAAAAAACTATATATTCCAGTGGGGTTTTCTCTATGAGGAGTTAAAAGCTGAGGATTTGTTCTTAATTACAATGAATGTAAACATCACTGGAGTTTATTCAGAAAAACAAGTTACTTCAGGGCAGTTCACAAACTTTCAAGAAGACTTTTCCCCAGTCACCATTTCACCAACAAAGATGGTGAAAATCATGGTAAAAACATGACTTGGTCTTCTTAACTTTTGTTCAAAACAAAAAAATGTAGAAAAACAGTGAAGACTCATTCACCAGTGAGACAATGTGAAGCAATATTTCAGAAACACCAACCCCATGGTGGCCCTGCCTATAAAACTAAACAATGTCTGCAATAAAAGTCTTGGTTATTTGTAGCTTATTAAATCTTTCAAACATACAATGGTCCTCTTGAGGGAAAATGTTTTCAATCTTACCATGCAAATTAAAGGGACACATTTTTCTTTCTTATGGGGAACATTTACCAACACAGGGTTCTAATACGTAACCATCAACACTGGTTCTTGATTTCCTGTCATCCGCTTCTACTTGTTGCTTTTCAATCACTTATGATTAAATACCAGTGTGCTTCATGGACTGGTTTTTTAATTATGATCAAACAATCATTTAGAAATTGCTTAGAATTCCAAATGTTTGTCGGTTTTTTCCCTATCTGGATTTTGATATGTCCTGCTTTCCCTTTGCACTGTTTTTTTTATATACTATATTTGTAGAGCTCTAATTTTTATAGCGCTTACAAAAGTTACCAGTGAGTAATTAAAAACAAAATTCATATTTCAAATTTTGAAAATGAAATTATTTTTAAAAAAAAGTCAGATTTTGCTTAATCTACACCAAAAATTTATTAATTTACTCTTTAGAGAACAGTTATGGCAGTTATGTCATAGTTATGTATAAAACCAGACTTGAGGGGTTCACAAGAATGAAAGATGTCAAGCCTTACATGTGCAGAGAATCCCAAGAGGTCACAATAATGATGTATTCTTTACAAGTGCTGGTGAAGATTCTCAGTCATACAGGTCCTAGTCAGTCTATTAAAGTTAAAAAACAAACCACTGGACTTTGTTTTCAGAGTTTGAAGACATTTCACTTACCATCCAGGAAGCTTTTTTAATAGAACATGACAGATTTAGCGTTGAGTTCCCAATATCATCTTAACCCCTAACGCTATGCAAGGGAACCAAAACATCTCGCCTTGTCACCCAGGCCAACAATGCTCCTAACGACTCTCTTTTCAGAGCCGTAGATTAGTATTATAGGCATAATTATTGCATTGGGTATTGCAGGCTAACAGAGATCTCACTGAGGGCATTCACACTCAGTTCCCTTTTCAATGTGGGAAACTGAGAATGAGCTTCAAGATGAAGAGGAAATGTTTGTCAATGAAAATGGATAGAAACCCAGGGAAGTCATCGGTCTCTGCTAATTATAGAGGGGATTCTTTTTGACTGAGGAAAACAAGAGACTAGACGCAGTTTCATATTGTGAATCTGCACTGGCAGAAAGAAAAAAAAAAAACACACACAAAAAAATATGTAACTCCCTTAGTTATTATCTAAACAGTGGACAAAATCTATCTTATCATTATCATCTCTATGTATAGACAAAAACTGCAAAATAGATGCATATATGCAAATTTGTCTAGTCACAGGAAGAAGGAACTGCTTTTTTCTTAATAATAAAGAGGGTGGTAGACAGCTGCTTGTTTTTAATAAGGTAACATTAAAATGGGATTGGGATTAAATCAAAAATTGTATTGTGTTGAAATTGAGCTTTGGAAATTCATTTTTTATTTACACTTTAGATTTGTTGTTAAAGTTTGGTGAGAATGTAAATCTTAAGAGACAAAGAAAAGGAAGACAAATAAATGCGAAAACATTTGACATATTACAGAACAGAACACACCTAAAATATATGTTTATAAAAAAAACTAAATTAAATAATTTATTTTAAGGTTTTGTAACAGAAAAAAATATTCTTTTTAATCTTTTAACAAACTTCATATTAGTTTAAGATTTAGTTATTTTTCCGCCGAGTCACTACTGTGTCATACTGTGGGATCCTCCCCCTTATTAACGCTATTGGTTGCGGCGTTAGTGACGCACCCAGACCGGAAGCTTTGTACAAATTAAATAAGTTTGTGCGGGGTTCAGCGCGTGCAGACATTTCTGGCTAATCACGGTCATTATCCGTCTTCATTGCAACCATGTCTACTGAAAAATGTTTCGCCAAAGGTAGGGAACGGTTTTCTTTTTGCTCGCTGAACCACAACTGCTGCATTACACTTAACCATTTCTTCCATTTCCGCGTATGATCAGCCAGCTTTCTCTCCTGCAACAACGCGTTTCATTATTTAAGATAATTATTGTTATAAGACATTGTGTTGCAGATATGATAATGGGAGTCAATTTGCAAAGTCATTGTGGTTTCTGTTGCGTGAACTCGGTCCTGCTCATAAACAAATCATTACTCAACAGGGGCGGAGCTAGATGGTGGGCCAGGGGTGGCCATGGCCACCCTTAACCAATCATTGGCCACCCCTACCATTTTTTCCCTCTAATACGGACTGTGGCAGCAGTAATGCTCTCAAGTGGAATATTCAAAACATTTTCATATATTACCAATTACTTGACAACAAAAACACTGGTTAATTATGCTCATCAATATACTAACATTAAAGATGATACATATAGAATCCGTGGTCTTTTTCAGAAATAGATTTTTAGTTATATGGGGGTAAAGAGAAAATGGTGTGTCTCTGCAAGTCATCAGTGTCTTCAGTGAATTATAGATAAGTATTTCAATAAAAACTTAAAAATAACAAATTCATGTAGATATTAGTACATCTAAATATCAATTTTATGCCAAATGATTATTGATAAAAGTAAGTAAAAAGGCTGTAGGAAAGTATAGTAAGTCTTTATTTTGAAAATATGGGCGTTGCGCTTGTTTGTTTTCCTGCTGGAACAGTGTAGATTGACCGTGAGGTTCTGCTGCCAATCCACTTTCAGCCACCCCTCAGCCTACATTAGTTATTGCCTGGCCACACCTTATAAAAATGTTCTGGCTACGCCTCTGTTACACAATGATCCCATCCTTATTCTGCCTCTGGTGGGAAACATTGAGGGATTTTTAATAAGAATCATTGAAAACTTCTTAATTTTCTCAGTAAAAATTATATTATTTCAAATTTTAAGGGATTAAGAGCCTTAAAAACTATAATTTTGCTGTTTTTTACAGCAGACTAAAACTTTAAAGCTTGACATTAAATCATGTTTTTAAACATTTGATATTTGTTAGTTCTTCGTGATATCTTTATATGATTTTTTTCTTATTTAACCCCATAGTTAAGTGAGAAAAAATGGATAAAGCTGAATTTTATTTTAATTGTGGCAGTCTCTAAAAATTTAATTGTTTTAAACAACAATTAGAAAACTGGAAGCAGATAGTACTTTAGAATCGCTGTAAAAATCAAAGTAGCCAATCAAAGTGAAAAAAGTTACTCTTAACTAAAAGCTATTTTTAAGTGTAAAACAGCCCTGTTATGTCATTTTATTACTTGTTTTTTTTTTTGCTAAGCTGTTGAGGGAAAATGTGCTGTTCATAATCTCAATAGTAAAGTTTTTTTTCCAAATGCTGTAAAATTATGCTTTGGAAGTGAAATGTTTAAAAAATGATTTCATTTTCAAAGAAAAAACTTAAATGGTCAATACTACAGGATTGAATTTCCTCTGTACATTAGGAGTACATTTGGGTCATTACTGGTCTTAATTTTGTCATTAAAAATCGTTTATTTCAGGAAGCCCTGCACCTGGTCCTGTTCCCAAAGACCAGATACGTCTCTACAGCATGAGATTCTGCCCTTTTGCTGAAAGAACTAGATTGGTGCTGAACGCCAAAGGGATCAAGTAAAAAAAACAAAAAAACACTCTATTGTAGATACCATTATTAGTTTATTTTTCCATAATTAATCATCCTAATGCTTTTCTTTCCCTCTTGTTAGGTATGACACAATCAACATCCACTTGAAAGAGAAACCTGACTGGTTCCTAGAGAAGAATCCACTTGGTCTTGTACCTGCACTGGAGACACCTGCTGGTGAAATAATATACGAGTCTCCAATCACCTGTGATTACCTGGATGAAGTGTATCCTGAGAAGAAACTCCTTCCATCCTCTCCTTTTGGAAAAGCCAAACAAAGAATGCTGCTGGAGCATTTTTCAAAGGTATACAGCATTTAAAACTTGAATTTAAATCTTTACCTCATGATCATGACTTTCAATAACCAAAGAAATTCTGTTGCATTCTGTAGGTAATACCCTATTTCTACAAGATCCCAGCGGCAAGAAGGAATGGAGAGGATGTTTCTGGACCAGAAGCTGAGCTGAAAGAGAAGTTTTCTAAATTGAATGAGGTGGGTTGAATAATTTAATACTGTTTTGGATTTTTATGCAAAAACATAGTTCTCCACAGATTACTGATAACTATTTATTTCAGCACTTGGAGAAGAAAAAGACCAAGTTCTTTGAAGGTGACAGCATCACAATGATTGACTACATGATGTGGCCTTTCTTTGAGAGGATTGAGGTCTTGGAGCTGAAGCAGTGAGTAAGACTCATGTGACGGTATTAGACGTATCTTTTTATTCATGGTGTTGAGATACCTCAGGTAATTAAATACGTAGGAAACGGTACAAATACAGAGGGAATCAAAAGCATTTATGGTTAAAAAGCAGTGAGAAGTGAAGGATGCAGAACATTTTCTTTGAACCAATACTTCAGACCCCCAATTTTAGGTCATTTGTTTTGAAATAAGTAAATTCAAGCCCATAAATCATCTAAAATGTTAAAATATCAGTTATACATTACTGCATTAACAGCCAAGTACAGTTTATATGGCAAAAACAATTATTGATCAGCTTTAATTGCATTCATGACCATTTTATTTTCTTCAGAAATAACCCAAAATGATGTTTGTGATAAACGTGCTCTGAATCATTTTATTCCGTTGTCTTTCCAGCTGCCTGGACCACACACCTGAGCTGAAGAAGTGGGTAGAGCGCATGCTAGAGGACCCAGCTGTTAAAAACACCCTGTACAGCATGGATACCTACAAAGCCTTTTACAAGAGTGTCGCTGAAGGGAAACCTGACTATGACTATGGCCTTTAAAATAAAAGGCTGTTTTTCCGTCCATTAATCTGCAGGCCTCAGGTCAGATCTGCCATCAGATATCATCCATCCAATGTTTTCTACACTTTATATGATAGAGGTAGTTTGTTCTAGGAGGAAATTATATCTTTAAGAAAAATGAATTTGCAATTTGTTTGAGTTTCTGATTTCAATAAAAAACAAAAATGGTTGAAATATGTTTTGTGTCTGATTGTGTTTTATTGAAACGTGCATATATCAGACATCAATTCAAAAGAGTAATCACAATAACAGTTCCTTAAATGGAAAGGTATCAGCTGCCTTTTGCTTAACAAGAGTTTTGAGAGAAAAAAGCTTTTAAAGTTATGTAAGCTACATATTTAACAACATATGTTACGCTGGTTTGCCATTATAACACTACAGTGACTGCAAAACCACTAAACTTATCTCAGAAAAGATGACACAACTGTTGTAAATATATTTAAATATTAACCCTTACTACTTCTAAATGAAGGTGCTAAGAGTGACCTGCACTCGAGCCGGTTATTAATTAACACTAACCCCCTGGGTGAACTGCACCTTTATGCTGATTGGCCAACAATCTCCTAACATTCGTTCCCCTGGCAGATTAAGATCTAAAATCATTCATTCCATCAACTGTTTCTTACAAGAATCTAAGTTGGCACACCTACTCACAAAAAAACAAGCACTTTCAACTCTGTAGAAAAACCCTTTTAATTAAAAATATATTTTCTTAAAAGACCTCTTTGGCATTAAAGCAATCAAACCATTACATGGCTCACCGGGTTTTAGCCTGGTTAGACTTGTATCAGCTATCGTTAATCTTAAAGGTGTAGTGGAGGCTTTTCTGTTTCTGGGTGGATCATCAAAATAAGTGGTCCTCCTAAATGTCTATCATTCTGGTGATATGTTTACGTAAGGCCGTCCTAGATACTCGTCCTGTTAGCCAACTTTTTCTTCGCACGCGCACTTTATCGCATATCTGTGGTGAGCGACGGTTTCAGACAGCAATTGAAGCTCACTTTTCTCATGGTTCTTTAAAAATGGCCAAGGGTCATAAGAGAAAAGGTGTCTGTAAAATGTATGAGAAGAAAGGCTTTAGAAGAGGCAGATATATCCCGCAATGCATTGCGCAGAGAGCTCTTCTCTCAAAGCATTATGGATTTGCTGTCACTACCCGACAGCGGTTACTAACAAAGATGCCGCAGGCACTGCGCAGTGGAGGAGGAGTTTCGTGACCAACGGGGATCAAAAAGTGGTGATCATCTGTCCAAATAGTTAAGAGTTTGCCATAAAGTCCCCACTATATATATATATATATATATATACTTATTTATTTTTGATTGAGGGATTTACAGGCACAGTACGCTTGTATGAGCTACGAGAACAGCAACTTTTGAACAGAGCGTGTATAAGGGAAAATGGCCGCGCATGCTCTCGCACGCATTTAATAGGCATTCCCTCTCAGGAGCGGGTACAGGATTGTGCATGTGCTTTTTTTTATCAAGTTGAGAGGGCTAGTCTCTTAAAAAAATTGCAAAAAACCTCAACTACACCTTTAAGGGATGATCTCAGGTCTTTGAGGTTTAGAGGCCTCCCTGCACAGGTTCTGTCTTAATCTGCCAGAGTTATAAAGAATATTTGGCTGGACTGCAAGTAAAAAGCAGAGATTCAAACACCAGGATTTTTTAAGGGTTTTTCTCATGGTTCTTAGACCGTGTACACCAGTAATTCAGAGAGCAACAGATGCTCCGAGTCGCATCAATCCAGGCTGTGGTGTAAACTTCCATTTGATACGTGAGGTGTGTACTCTTCTATGAGAACAGGTGCGTTCCTCAGCATTTCCTGAAAGTGTCTAACAGTCGTTGAGTAAAGCTCCCTGTGCAGCACCAGAGACCTGAACAGATTGACGGGCTCTGTTTTACGGAATCTCTCAGGAACCTGGATGTCTTTGGGTACCTTGCTGTTCCCAATCAGAGCGTGGTAGAGTCTCTTTTCCTGCAAGCTCCGCTGCAAGAAGCCAAACACATCCTGAAGCCTCTGCTCCAAACTGCATGCGCCCCATGCTGTGCTCTTGGTGCTCAGCAGCATGTGCAGCAAAGCAGTCTTTAGGTGGTAGCTAGTGAGAGCAGAAACGCCTGTGAGACTTGTCTGTTTTCTGTGTAGGAAAGTAGCAATCTGAAGGCAGTGAAGGTGGCAAGAATTTTGTGGAAGTCTCTTAGCAAAATATTTTAGCAGATTTCTCTCGTAGACAGCTAAAGAGACAGACCAGTATGGGTCTGGGAAATCCTCACGAAGAGATGGAAAATGCGAGACAAAATAAGCATCAGTGTCCTCCAGCTGAACTACTGGGATGAGGTTCAGTACAACAACTTTTCCGGAGCGGAATCGGATCTTCAGAGCCCCAGCAGCATCCAGGTTACGAAAAGTGACTTCAAAATCATATTTGTGGGAGATGCGCCCCCAAGCTTTGGTGACGGACATCTGAAACCACCTCATGACCCGGTCTTTGGCTAGGAAATGTGTACCCTTGGAGCACAGCAGGTCATCTGGGCTGCGGTTCACTTTGACCCCCTTATTTCTATTATGTAGCAGACAAAGCATGTCCTCTCCCATGTCGGCAGAACCACAAAGGCAACCCTCCTCATCCTCCCCAAGCATAGTCACCTTCACAGTGCCACAACCTGGCATGTCTGGTGGGATATCGGTGGAGGCGCTGCACCATAGGTGGTTTTGGAAAGAGTGGGGATCCGGTGGTGAGAAAGGCACTAAAAGGTCACACATCAGAGGTTTGCACACCTTCCAAGACTCAAACATGCTTCCTATACCAATGAAATCACCCACTTCCATGTCCACCTCTCTGTCACACATGCTCCGGAGTGACTCAAGCAGGTCGTCAGCAAAACCCTCCACAAATTCCCTCACCCTCCAGTTTTCGTGGGCTGAGGTATAGGTGCATTTGTCGCAGAAATTCCTCAAGGCTTTCTTATCCATCATCCTAGGTGGGGCGAATCCATTCTCAGATAAGAAATCTTCGTCCTCAACTGGATCATTCTCATCATCAACTAGATCTACTCTGCAAAACTCGATGGCAATGAAAATCACAAAAGAAACAGTGCTCCAAAAGTACCAAGAGAAACCATCATTCAAGGAGGTTTCTTCCAGCTTGGAGTCCAGCTGCTTGAGCTCTTTTTCCAGTCTGGCCCGCTCAATCTGCAGCCTCTCCTCGTGTTCCCGCATCCGAGTCAAAAGATCCTCATCTTGCTCTGGCAGGGTGGCGTTTTCATTTGAAAAGAAAAAGGGATGGTTGAGTATGGCAGCAGCCATCACCATGCAAACACGTGCAACGCCCCCCTGCATCTTGAACGAATGATTTAATATGCACGCTCAGGCACCAAGCAGACGTCAAGCCAGCTGTAGATCACATCCTGAAACAGACACAAAATGTACTTTTAGTTCACACTAATGTAAGACAATACTCATTTATAAAAGGAGTTATTTCTAGAAAGCTCTCCACCCACTGCAGGAAGCAGGGTCTGCACAACTGAATATAGCCTCTGGTGCTGAGTGGTGCGTTCTTCCTCTATCAGACTTTGCAAGAGGCTGAAAGATTGAGCCTTTTGGCAGAATGTCAACCCTTTACAACTGTATTTACTCTTCTATTGTGCAGATCCAATTTGTTTATTTTCACTCATTTCTGTTTCTTCCGCAGAGAGAGAGGATATATCTTATTGTATTTTCATCCCAAAGCTTCAAATATAAACTAATGCTAGCTAAGATATGTCACATGAGTGCAGAATATATGTTGAAGTTTCTCTTTGGTGCAATTGAATCATTGACAGCTGAAAGCCAAGTCCCTGCAGGTATATTCTAGAAGAGTTGCTCAATCTTGCATCCGCATAGTGTCATAAAGTGATAAAACTGTCAACTTGAGATTTCCTTTGTTGCTGCAGAAAAGGGAAGTGGATGTTTCATGCGTTCACATGAATACCACAAGTTTTTTTATTAAAATGGCAGTGGTAATGGGGTAGGCAAATCAACAGAAACCAGTGAGGTTTTTCCATGACTAACTCACCAGGAAGATTTCCAACACTTAAATTAAAAAAAGAACCCATGGGTGGAGCTCTACTTCAGGAAGTTCTGTTTAAAAATAATTTGGATCGTCCATAGCTGCTCAGGTCTGATAAGTTTTAAGGAGTAAATGACACATTTTGTGATGGAAGCAATGTGAGATGGGTATGCAACTTCTTGGTGCAACACATAAAGTCCTAGTAAAATGCATAGAGGTTTGTATTTTTGACATTACAAAGGATGGAAAACATCACATTGTTAAGTGTCATTTTTTTAACTCAATGCTTTCTAGGGCAGTGGCCTGAAAGTCAATTTCTGTTTGTATTTTTGTTGTATTTGGTTAAGAGCTTATTGTTGTTTTTTTCTTACATTATTACATCTTTGTGGGAATAAGGCTGAGCCTGCAAAATGGGTTTTGTTCAAAAAGCAGTGGTCCTTCCGAGCACCATTGAATATTGAGGCTTCCAAACCAGAAAATGTTTTATCACCAATACAGGAAAACATTGTGCTACAAAAAAAAAAAAAAACTCCACAACAAACAGATGGTAAAATAAGTGAAATGGTAAATGGCCTGTACTTATATAGTGCTTTGGTCTAGTCAGAAGACTTAAGTGCTTTACACTACATTCACCCATTCACACACACTGATGGTGGCAAGCTACATTGTAGCCACAGCTGCCCTGGGGCTCACTGTGAGAAGCGAGGGTGCCGTACACTGGGGACACCGGTCCCTCCGACCACCATCAGTGAACAATGCAAGTGAAGTGTCTTGCCCCAGGACACAACCACACTGAAAGCCTTGAACCAACAACCGTCCAGCTAGAGGGCAAACTCCTGCATCTGATGCCACTGTCACTGCCAATAAGTACCACATTAGAAAATATTATGCATATTTGACTTATAGTTTACGTACATCAAAGACCATGCTTTTAGTGAAATTTGTAATATACAGGTGTATTTCAGAAAATTTGAATATTATTTCAGTAAACCAGTTTAAGAAGTATTAATGCATGGATTAATTATGGTCATATTTCAAGTGCTAAATCCTTTTGATTTCACTGATTAGAACCATCACCCTTTTCTCTCAAAACATTCTAATAATGCATTAGAAAGTTGGTTATATAAATAGAAAAGGCAAGAGTGTGTATGTTTTACAAAGCTAATTATGCTCCATGTGCTAATGAGCTTTATCATGACTGGGATTTACCTTTTCAAGGATCTGGTTAATAACCATGGAGTCCATATGAATAATCCATAAACTCATTTAATATCAACCCCATACCAATATGTGTATTATTGTCAAATGGAACATGAGAGCATCAAAGCAAGCAATGCAAATGAGTTGCAGGCCCTCATAGCCACTGATGTAATACCTCCAGCTATTTTAGAAGTCATGCATAAACAGTGGTGTCAAAAGTACACACATTTTTTACTTAAGTAGAAGTATAGCTACTGCATTTTAAAAACACTCTGATAAGTTGAAGTATCAACTTTACCTCTTTACTCAAGTAAAGGTAAAAAAGTATGTGCTCCAAAAACTACTTAAAGTATAAAAGTATAAAGTAACCTTTAAAAAAAAAACAGCCAGATGCCACTATATGAATTTCAAAGCTAAATTTTTCTATTTTGAAAAATTGTTTGAGATAGGTCCAAGAATGAGGGAGGTCTTGTTGGTCTCCATCTCCCAACACGCTCTTGCCTGTGCCTGACCTTTCAGACATTTCAACATCTTTTTCTGAATCCGACATTGTAGCATGGCATAGACCGGAGATCTTAAACAGGGGGTCCGCAATCCCTAGGGGTCCATGGAGGTCCTGCATGGGGGTCGCGAAAGTTTTAGTTGATCAGACTTTTTTTTTTTTTTTTTTTATATTCCCTCTACTTTTTTCCACTAAAGGAAATGTCTTTTAAATACACATTAACATAAATTCAACACACTGTATTGAGGCAAAAGATCTCTTTCAGTCATCAATGCACACATTCAGCGACACACAGGTGGTCTTTCAAGCTGGACACCGTTTCATTGACAACACCTGTCCCATCAATGAGGAATCAGAATCAGAAATACTTTTGTTACATGACTACGTCTGTAATAGAGTGATTATAGGACCAGTTTGATATAACACAATTTCATACAATATATTAGGGGTCCTCGCTCCACCTCGCCATCAGTCTGGGGGTCCTTGCCCTGGAAAAAGTTGAAGACCCCTGGCATAGACAATTCGGGTTTGCAGTTTGAAGAACACCTGCTTGCTTCTGAGGATTTCCTTTAGCTAACCAATGAGTGTTTGCGTTATATGACTCATCCAATTACACTAGTTTTCACTAGATGTGGATGGAGCCAATGTTCTGCATTGGATGGTGCACATGAGGTGAAATAAATATTTATAAACATTAAACATTAAGCCAAGAGTAACGATTAACATTTGTTTTTAAAAATGTAAGGAATAGAAATTACAGATACTTGTGTGAAAATGTAATGAGTAGAAGTAGGAAGAGAAATAAGTAATGGAGTAAAGTATAGATACCTAAAAAGTGTACTTAAGTACAGTAACTAAGTATTTGTACTTTGTAGCTTTCCACCTCTGTGCATAAAGATCCTAAACTAAATAGACAATAAGGAGTTGTGCTATAAACAATATTTTTTTTTGTTTAAATCAATTGTTTTTTGGCGTTTTTATTTGCTGTAAAACAAAATCATTTATTGCTGAGATTAATAAACCATTTTTGATATTTTACTTTATTTACAAGTAGATGTACCTTTAAAAAAAAGAATACAGTTAACTTCAATAAAATATCAGCTATTCTTTAGCATCTTATTAATTACGGAAAAACAACACGTTTTTCCCCTAAAAGGCGTAACGGTAGCGTGTATTGCAATGAGTGACGTAGTGACGGCAGCTGGTGACCCCGCCAATGTTGCCATAGCAACTAAATAAAAAGCTAAATTATGGCGGCAAGGCAAACATTTCCTCAGAATAAATTAGTCACCCTGCAGCCTGTTAACAAATGAGCCTTTGTGCTTCCGAAAAATGTAAATAAGAGTTTAAAAGAACTGCAATACTCCCGGGGAAATGTCTTACATAATGTGGACAGCATGTCTCAGCATCCTAAAACTAACATTTCAGCGGAAGTAAACTTTTTAGAGTTTGGTTGACGCAGATTAGTTGAGCTTACCTGAGTGTTCTTTAGGTAGAAAACCGGGCTGAAAAGTTCACGTGGTAAAAGCAGCAACCTCCACGCGAACATTTCGGGGTTAGTTTCCTCAGCCTCCTCTTCTCTACATTTCCTGACAGGCTGGAGCTCCACCCATGTTAACAGCCCGCCCTGCTTTCCTCACCAAAGCAGGGCCCCATGAACTGTGACATTACTGTTTCCGTCCCCATCTTGCTCTGTAACGGTGTGCAACTGTATTATTTTTTTAAAAATGCCTCAAAGTTATTTCCTTGATATTTTCATACTTATATTTATCAAAACAAGATCCAAAAATATTACTGTAATTCTGATTCATGCCAGATTAAATATTCAATGTAAATTTGATGATTGCACACTTGATTCTCCAGATGCACAGTGTTTTTGTTGTTAAAACACTTTACAATATAGTGTTTTTTTTTTTTGTTTTTACTCTTTACTGTTATGTTATTCTTATACACTTTTCTAAGGTCCACATTTGTGTAATCATTTTTTTTTTTTATCTTTTTGCTGCTGTAAACACCAGAATTTCCCCATTGAGGGACAATAAAGGCAATGCAATCTGCTGGTGAAGATTCTCTGTAATCCAGGTCATAGTCATTCCAAAAAAGTAAAAAAAAAAAATAAAGTCCTCTGGACTTTGTTTCCAAGTTTGAAAGTCTGAAGATGTTTCGCTTCCCATCCAGGAAGCATGTAAGGAACATGCTTACAACACCATGCAGAGCATTTTCCTACTAAAACAGACTTTTCATTTTTTAAAGCCTTGATAAATGTAAGCAGCAGTGATAAAACATTGTGATGAAAAAAACACTGAGGTGAAAAAAAAGTGATGTAAACATATGACTATATAGTTATAGTTCCAACATTCAGGTTTAGTTTTTTTTTTTATAACTCATTTTATGTAACATTCAGCAGTCTAATGGCAGTACGGAAGAAACTGTTCTGGGATCTGCTCGACCTGCATCTGATGCTTCAATGAGAACAGTCCATGGTGGGGGTGTGAGGGGTCATTTATAATGATACGGGCTCGGGACACGCAACGCTGGGATGAAATGTCTTTAAATGAGGGAAGATGAGCCCTGATGATCCTCTCTGCTGTTCTCACCACTCTTCTCACCTTCATCCAGTTTGAGGCCCTGCAGCCTCCACACCACACAGTCAGAAAGCTGGTCAGAACGCTCTCTATGGTGCTTTTGTAGAAGATGGTGAGGATGGGACAGACCAAATATGAGTGGTGTGGTGTAAGCAGTTCAATGCAGTGAGCAATGCTCTGATCTTTAGATTGGAGAAACCAAACCTCTCCACCGACGCATAGCCCAACACAGAAGAGCGACCTCCTCGGGACAAGACTCTGCGGTACAGCTAAACCTTATGGACAGAGGACATCCTTTGGAGGACCAGAATGTAAACATTTTGGACAGAGAGGATAGGTGGTTTGAGAGGGTTCGTGAAGGAAGCCATCTATGTTAAGAAGGAAAAAACAACCTTAAACAGAGGGGTTGGACTCAGATTTCAGCTTTCAAAAACCTAGAATTCAGCTATTGAGTTGATTCCTTCCAACCATCATTGCAACCCCCACCTAATTACAGGGGACCAGAGCATCCCACCTCTTCAGCCAGGCCAAGAATTCCCTTTAACAACCCCCCTTTCAGAGACATAGACAGGTTTCAGGTATTACAGGCTAACTAAGAAACAAAACAACCCCCATCCAAAGGGGTGGACCCGCTCGTCAAGTTCAATTTGCATGTTTCTAAGCCAAAACAAGGCTTTGCTTTGATCCACTCTATAAAGCCTTGAACTAAACGCCATTTCTGACATTTTGAATTGATAAAGCTTCCTGGATTGAAAGCGAAACATCTTCAAACTTTGAAACAAAGTCCAGCGGATTGTTTTTTAACGTTTTTGGAATGACAACAAAGGGCACTTCAGTTTCTTTAGTTGTAGTACTGTAGTACTTTTGGTAAACCACAAGGGTGCTCTCTAGCATTGAAAATAGTACACTTTGTATCCTCACAAGGCCTCCTTAATTCAACATGTCAGAAACTCAAAAAGACACAAATGGATGCCTCAATCATCTCCTGGATTGATGAATAATCTTCTTGGTGGATTTTTGTCTACTTTGGTGGTCAGCAGCCTTGCTAGAGACTATTGGCCGCCAAGTGATTAAGGCATAGAGGTTGGAATTCTGAGGGTCTGAGGTTGAGCCCCACTCCCACCGATTTCCACTTTGGATCCCAGACCCTTAACCCCACACTGCTCCCTGGGCGCTGCACAATGGCAGCCCACTGCTCCCTAATGGGGTGGGTTAAATGCAGAGACTTCCTTTCGTTGCTCTGTACTTGTGACAGTGTAATGACAATAAAAGTTGGGAAGAAAAGATGATCTAATCATTCCCTTTCAGCCTTCGTAGAACAAATAGCAGATGACTAATGGCATGAGATGAAAAAGAGACTAGGTGCAGAGGGTTGGTTGGACCACTTTGTGGCATGTTGAACAAACACTAATTTTATCTTTAGTGAAAATGAATAGGAGAAACGCCTAAATGCCTAAACAGTGTGTCCATCAAGAGAGTAGGGTGGCGGCTGTGAAGTAGAAACACCTCAGACTGGACAGACTTGTTGAACAGAATACACCTGCGTACCAAAAGGCATATGAACACATTCTTTACCTGAGACAATCACACAAACATTTAATACATGTGGACACAGTTCCATGGTTGAATAATTTTCCTGAAACAAGGGAAAACACATGGGGTCTAAGGGTGCAACAAAAAAAGGTTGAGGCAATTATGTCCCCATTAACGTATGCAGAGATGCCTTATCCTGTCACCATGGTTTACAATCTTCCAGACTGCCAAGGGGGGGGACTTTTTCTCCCAAAACTACAGCTGAAAGCAGATATTTGCATGGCTGGTTACTAAACACAATAATTTCCTCCTTCTCAGGAATCAAATTGGACTGCCCTATTCCAGATTTAGATCAGTCAGTACAATCAAATTTAGTTATTTAATGCCAAATGGCTTCAAAGTGAGATTCTTTTGATTACTTTTTTGCAATCAAAAGCTTATATAAACATATACTTAGTTCAGATTTGTAGGCTTTCAGATTAATTCAACACATTGCCGACAAATTAAGGCAGATTTCTAGTGTTAGGTCAAGGCAACGCCTCAAAACACACCCCTTCCTTCTGTAAAAAAAAAACAGCCAGACATCAGGAAGAAACTAGGACCTCGACCATTCTGGTTCCTCCTCGGGTAATTTCCAGATGTCCAACATTCATCCCTTCAAATTAGTTTATGTGAGGGTAAGTATGGAAAAAGAAGTAAAAAACACAAACTGAAAGCAAAACACAAGACTTTGCTGATCCAGGATCATATCTGTGTGCTTCTTGTTGAAGTAGAATTAATGACACATACATATTATGTGAACTAATCAAACACAGCATATAGGATTTTGCAAAAATGCACATTATTTCACTTCTCTTTTATTCATTACCCGAATCATTAAATAGAATTACCTTTTTTTTTACTGCACCTTTAGGAAAAATAAAGACATTTAATTTAGGAAGTCCACGCAGATTGAAAACATTTATTAGGAATGTGAATTATGTATGAAAAAAATATACAATATATTGTTTGAAAAATAACATTTTGCAACATATTTACATTCCTTATCATTACATTCTTTCCTTTAGTATTCTCACATAGGAAGCAGTGTTTTTTTTTGTTTAAATGGCCATTTCTACAGCAACAGATGTGTTGTTTCAGGCATTTCAAAATAAAATGAGTCGTATTCAAGTGGCATGTGAGATTCCAATCCATACAAAAATCAGTCAGTGAAAGTTTAGAAAAAAACAAAATTTTTGTTTAAAACTGTTTACTAACAGATCTGACGTTAGTTTTTCTCCTAGAGCCATCAAGAAGCAAACCCTCCGCATCACTTCATTTACAAAGAGAAATTAAGAGGCAGTGTTAACATCAACTCACATTTGATTTTCTTTTACCTTCCCAGGGGGATTTAATGTGCTATTCCATTCAATTCATTTACTGTGTAAAATTACAATATGTCACAGAATCACATTCATTTTGTTCAATTTGTTTTAACAAGCTTATTTACCAATTAAAGCCGATCGCCACTTGAGTTTATTGTTTTGCTCATTATTTAGGTAGATTGGTAAATTTCAGCAACTTTATTCCTGAGAAAATCTATATACCCGTTAAATCTAGAAACTAAAAAGGGACATGCATTACATACATAACAGAAAACAGGACATCACATCTAGTTTATATATGGTAATTTAAAAACATATAATAAAACTACAGCCTCTAACTCAGCTTAAATTAATGGGATGGAATAACCTATTAAACTGAGTTGCTTTACATTTTTTTGACCTTTTCAGATGCTTCTGCATCTGGCTCTTCTTTTCAGATCAGTCCTTGCAGAGAGAACGTCTTTGAGGATTCCCGACTTTAACACGTGTAACGGAGCGTAAAGAGAACCGACCACAAAGAAAAGGTGAGAACATACTTAATGGTTTCTTGAACGCAGGTGTACCAGCACTGTAGATCACAGGAGTCCTTTCACTTTTAAAAAACACTTTGTTTTTTTTAAAGTTCATATAAAGATTTAAAAAAAAGGCACACTCCAAACTCAAATGTCTTTGAAAGAATAGATGTTCATCATGTAGATGGTTCAGAGTGTGCAAAATCAAGACATTATATTCCATCAATGAGACACACATTTAAAAAGATTTAGACCCAGTTAGGCAGAATTACTTTGTGAAGAACTGTTAATTTCTTTCAATTTCTGTTGAATCTTATCTGCTTTGTTATTTTTGCCATTCCTACGAAGCACCTTTATCAGCTCCACTGAGGCATTACTGCCGGTCCTCTCAATCCATTTCTTTAGTAGTTCTATGGTCCTATCCTCAATATCTTTGGGGTGGCTTATCTCTAAATTTTCAATTGCAGTCCCCATATCACACTTCTGTGCTACTAGCTTCATGTCCTTCCATCCCAGTATTTCTGCAAAATCTAGTAGGTGAGGCTCCATGTTCACTGACAAGAAAGGAAGGAAATATATATGAATAAGGGCAACCCATGAAAATGCACATTTAACTTTTATTGATCTTGCAGAGACAGAAACAGTCTTACCTTTAAGGAGTGGGACATCCTGTAAAGCACAAAAACACACCATGTTAGTTTCTTGTTTTTTAGTTCCGACAAGTAGAAAGAAGTAATTTGCTCTTCAATAAAACTGTCACACAAACACGGTTTAAGTAAAACCAACCTGTCCCTCCCACATCAAAGGAGCAGCTTGATTAAAAATTACAGAGGAGACAAACAAATGTGAACCAGGTGTTTTTTAGTGGGAAACTGGAAAACATGCAACAGAGACTGAAGATCGTGAAACATAAAATCAATCATGTAGATTAACTTACCACGTGGTTAGAGGGGGTTGATGAGTCTGAATTTGGTCTTAGTCGCTCTTTAGAAGTAGTACAAAAATATATTGTTATTGTTACATAAATACTGGATAAAGTTATTCTGTATGATTGCTTTTCTGAAATCCAAATCAAATTAAGCCAGAGGATGGTGCTTACTCATTATTGTCTGTCTCTTTATGTACACTCCTACCGCCACAAGAACAAGGAACAAAACTGCAATTATAATGGCAGCAATTTCTCCACCTCCTAAACCTTAAGAAAAAAAAAAAAAAAAAACATGACAATGAGTTTTCTTAAAACACTTTTATAGTATTTTTGTTCATAAAAATAAATCTAAATAAATTTTCCAAAGACATTTCAATGAATTTATTACCAAATAAAGTTCAACAACAGCTTACTTTTTGACTCGTTACAAACTGCATTGCTGGTGGCTGTGCAAGGCTCTTTCACACCGGTAGCGTCACATCTTAAAAAAAAAAAAAAAAGAAAAGAAATTAAATCAAAATTTTCTCTAATGTATACAATCAAACATGAGCAGATCGAGTATCGGGGGAAATTTAAAGAAAGAAAAAAGCAAAACATAAAACATTTCACCTCTTGAGCCCGACGGGCCCAGGACCATCTGACCCATGTCATGTTAATTTACAGGAATGGCTGAAACAGAGTCACGTGGTATTTCATCCACACACCTTTCAAATGGGGCTGTCAAATTACTAAAACATGTATTAAAAAGTGTAATAAAGTGTGTTCAGCAGATGGTTGTACTATCCGACACACCTGCACCTGACTCAGCGTGTGTCTGCGTCAACACGTTGACACATTGCAGAAGATTGTAGAGGAGCCATGTTATCTAGACAGCCCAATAAATCCAAATAACTGTGAACATATGCAGACATTTCTTAATGAACTAAAGGCCTGACAGCTGGGATAATGGTTCCATTTGATGACATAAAAGAGAAACTGCTTTTTCATAGCTTGTATATTACAGTGAGGGGTGCCATATTGCGCCTTCCCCCACCTTCTGCACTGTTTGTCAATAGATTTTCACCCATAAAAGTCAACAAATCAAAAATCAAACCTACCGTAATAAAGTGAAAAGAATTATTATCCTTACGGTAGGTTAGTCCAGTAACCGTGGGAATGCATGCGGCTTTTCGGTAAATTTAGTTAATATAGGGCGGCTGCACTTTGATGCACATTTTGGACATTTTTTTTAAAGCTTTTTGGAGTTCTTAATCTGATACCCTGGAATCAGAGACTGTTTATTTAAGATTTACCTAGTTTGAGAATATCCCACATGTCTTTAACACTGTGTGTGTTGAAAATGACCATGCCAGAGTAAAGTCTAATTTGATTTGCATCTGACTCTGAATGTGTTTTGGCCTCTATGCTGCTAAATAGAACAGACACGTTGCTCCAGCGCAAGCCGACAGACTCCTGGAGAGGTGTTGCAACTTCTGAAAAATTAAGCGAAAGTCAACCTGCCTCTGATTAACATAAGATAAGATTAACTTTATTGTCCCAAAGGAAGCAGACACTGGCTGCTACATAGTTCAAACTGTGTGTCACACTGCAGTCACACATAAAAACACTGCTATACAATAAACAATACATACGGAAGCATGTTACATTACATTCAAAATAAAAAAATTGAAAGAAAAAAATTTTTTTTGAATACCATTGCCTATTCTTGATACTGTTTATTGCCTTAATGGAAAGCTGAACAAATTAGTTCTTATAGCAGTTCAATCTACAGGCAGGGGCTCTAAGACGTCGACCTGAAGGAAGAAGCTGATACTCTGAATAAAGACTATGAATGGGATCTGAGATGATTTTCTGGGTTATTGTTTCATTGAAGATGGTTTGAAGTGTGGGGTGCTGCTTGACTCCCATCCACCTCATTGCTCTTTGAGTCAGGCAAGTAAGTTTGTATTTGGACACTGATGCTCTCTATGACAGCACGGTAAAAGAGCAGCATGACTTTCTGACTGACACCAAAGGCCCTCAGCCTGCGCAGAAAATGTAGCCGCTGCTGGACCCTGTTGCAGACATAATCGACTGGAGCAATCCATGATAATTTATTGTTGATTTTTAATGCAAGATATTTATAGAAATCTGCTTGGGCAATTAACTGATTACCGGTATGCATGAAACTGCCCTCGGTTCAAAGATCAGTTCTTGTGTTTTTTGGACATTAAGAGTCAGAAAGGTTTTAATCTGCTGTCTGTAACCAATTAGGTCTGATGTGCCTGAAATGAGGCAGAGAAT